GTTTCCCTCAGGGCACGTTGCCACATGCCAGCAAAACCAGCTTCCCAAGTGATGGCAAGGCTTTTGTGGTTCAAGGTTTGTAGAAGCCGCCAGTAGGGGCAGCACCACGATCGTGGTGCTGCCCCCTTGTTGCCTCTCTCCAGACGGGACGCCCTCGTCGTCGTCCTCCTCGCTCGCATGCCCTGCTTCCGTTTGGCGTCGCAGCCGCGCGTCCTGTACGAAAATCGGGTCACACAGTGTGCGTTCGTAGATTCAGTGCCCCCCGTCGCTCGTCGACCCTGGAAATGTAGACCTCCGCTCTCCAGTTTTCGGGTGTTGCTAGAAGTGCCCCTGGCTCCAGGTGCCCCCCCGGACTTCCATGGAGGCGCCTCCAGAGCACCCCATCGCGAGGCCCAGATTGCTCCAGCGGAATTCAGCGTAGAGCGAGAAGCCGGGGGCACCGTGAGCCAGGGGGCACCTCCAGCAATCCCCGAAGGCCCTGTGGCCCAAACCGAGTCGGCCTCGGATCCGAGGCCGCTCCGGCGGAGCGCGGCCGCGGCCGCTCCGCGCAGGCCGCCCGTTGGGCCCCGCCCCCCCCCAGGCGACACGTCGCGCGCCCGCTCGCTGGAGGCTCGAAGTCTTGGAGGTTTTCGGACGTTTTCCTAACTCCTCGGCGGAGCTCCAGCCTCCAAGTGCCCTCCAGCAGCTGCGCCTCGCCGAGAGGCCTCCGGGAGTGCCGGGGATCGTCCCGGGCGGCCGCCGGAGACCCGAGTTTCATGGCCCGAAGGCCAGGCGGCGAGGATCACTGGGGGGGGGCGACGGCCGGGGGCGCTGTGCTCCTCCTCCCCCCCCAGGGGGAGCCCACCGGCTCCGAGGCTCTGGACGAGAGGCCGTCGATGCGGTGGGTTCCCCCAGCGAGGGGGGAGGCGGGGACAGGGCTCGCCCCCCCCCCCGTTGCGGGTTGGTCTCGGCCACCTCGGCTCCTCCTCCGCCCGCCCCCCTCGCCCTTTTCGCCCCGCCCGCCCTGCTAGCTGGCCACCGCGTCGCCCTTCCCCCCTGTTCTCCCTCGCCCCCCGTGTCGCCCTCCTCGCTGTCCCGCCCGTCGCCGTCGCCGTCGTCACCTGCCTCGTCTGCTTCGGCCGCGTCGCCGGCATTCGTATGAGTCATAGGGTTGCTGTGCGGTGCCCGGAGGGCCCCGGAGGCCCATCGCGTGGGCTTTCGCACGGCGCGGTCCGAGTGCGCGCTTAGCCAGGCGTTCTGCGACGCCGTGCTGGCAGCAGCACCGGGGCCTCCATCGCGACAGGCCGCTGTGCTTAGGACCAAGAGCTTCGCGGCGGATCCCTTGTCGAGCGCGTCCGCGGGGGTTCGCCTGTTCCTGCGGTGGCCACTGCGTGCAGAGCGGGACTGGCCAGAGCACGAGGGTCGAGTGCGGGGGGACTCGGCGCGACCGCGGAAGCGATCAGGGTTGGTTGCAGAGAGGGCGCGGGGGTGGACGGTGTGGGCGGGAAGGGATGGCGGAGGCGAGGAAGGTAAGGGCGACGGTGGGGTGAGGGTGTGGAGATGGCAAGGGAGGATGGCATGGGGTGGGCGGCGGATGCGGGTGAGGAGGATGTGGGCGGTGAGGATGGAGCGGTGCATGAGCACATGTGCCAGGTGGTAGGAGTGAGGGGCCCTCCGTGGACCTGGGCCTGTCGGGGCCATCCCTGCGCGGAGAGCACACGGGCCAGCGCCTCGGGCCCCGGGCCTCGGGCCCGGCTGGGCGACCCTGCCGCAGCCCTCACGCCGAGGGCGCGGGCGTGGCAGGGGTACCCGGATGCCTCCAGACGCCGTCAAGCACGTGCGAAAGCGTCTTTCCTAGATCCTCGAGGGCCGATGGCAAACGTTAGCAGTGGATCTAAGAAGAAGAAGAAGAAAAGAAGAAACATACTAACTTGCATGCGTATAAACTTCCGCAGCTCCGCGCGGAGCTCCGAAAGGGTATGTGTGTGTGTGATGTGCTTGCTCCTCTAACCACGAGGAGCTCGGCCGCAAGTCATGGGAGCCTTGTGTTCCATCCTTGCTCCGTCTTTGGAGGGCGCTGGCGTCGGCCAGCGCTTGGTAATCGATGAGATAGCGCCGACTTGGCGCCGACTCAGCGCCGATTCAGCGTCGGTGAACGTCGATGAGCAAGGGCCAACAAGATGGTACTTACGGGAGGCTCCCATGAGCTGCCGCAGAAGGAGGAGGTGGTGGCCGCCCCTCCCGAGGAGTTCGCCGTGACCTCCGAGATCTTCAGCGCGCGCGTGCCGATCCTGAAGTTCCGCTTCGAGGGCTGCCTGGACCCGCCGGCGCGGCGGCCAGTGCGCCAGCCCGGGTTCGGCAGCCTCACAGACCCCAGTGAGCGACGAAGGAAAAGGGGTTCGTCTTTCGTCTTCGGCACTGGCGCGTGGGCGTCCCGCGTACGGTCGCGCGTGGGCGCCCTGACTTCTGATGTAGCGTTTCACGCCAGCGGCCTGCGTGAGCCACCGCGTAGCGTCGCCGCGCCGTTGCGCGTAAGAGCTGCCTCTTTCCGTCACTCAAGTGGAATAATACTATTAATGATAACAACAATAATAGTTACAAAAATAATATTTATATTAATACTACTACTAATACTAATACGAATGCGAATGCGAGTGCTAATACTAATACTAATACTAATACTACTACTAATACTAATACGAATCCTAATACTAATACTAATACTAATACTAATACTAATACTAATACTAATACTAATACTAATACTAATACTAATACTAATACTAATACTAATACTAATATTCATACTTTTACTAATATTAATACTAATACTAATACTAATACTAATATTAATACTAATACTAATATTAATACCAATACGAATGCGAATGCGAATACTAAGATACTACTACTACTACTACTACTATTACTACTACTACTACTACTACTACTACGACTACTACGATACGACTACGACTACGACTACTACTACTACTACTACTACTACTACTACTACTACTACTACTACTACTACTACTATACTACTACTACTATATATACTACTATTACTACGACGACGACTACGACGACGACTATACTACTACTACTACTACTACTACTACTACTACTACTACTACTACTACTAAGACTACTACTACTACTACTACTACTTCTACTACTACTACTACCACTACTACTACTAGACTACTACTACTACTACTACTACTACTACTACTACTACTACTACTACTACTACTACTACTACTACTACTACTACTACTACTACTACTACTACTACTACTACTACTACTACTACTACTACTACTACTACTACTACTACTACTACTACTACTACTACTACTACTACTACTATTAGTAATACTAATACTAATACGAATACGAATGATAATAATAATACCAACATAGTATCAATAACCGATGAAGATAAACTTCCGGAGCTCCGCGCGGATTTCTTGGATCGGCGCTAGGCCCCCCTTGGCGGCGTCTTCGGCGCCGCCCCTGGCGCGCTCCGCGCGCCCGCCAGGGGAGAGCATGCTACGCATGGCATGAATTCAGTAGAGGATGAAGTGTTGGATCCGTGAGTGGATGAACCTAGACAGTATGATGATCAGAGGCTGTGATGCCTCTATTGGTTTTGGGTCGGCTATGATGCCAACCTGTGCCCACCCCGTCCCGTCTCCAGGGACTTCGCATCCCCCTTTGATGGCAGGATGGGGAGACGGTCCGCCACCCCCGGCACTGCACGTACTGTGCCGGTTCGTGGGAGTTTGTTGAATTCTATGACTGTCCCTTCCCTTCCCATCCCACCCCTCCGGCTACGCGCCTGGTCCCGGCTACAGCGACGATGGTAGGGGGTCTGGTCTACGTGTACAGTCACCGCGCATAGTAAGGACAAACCGCTTTTTCAAGGGTACCCTTGGGGCCTTGCTTGCCTCAGCCTCTGCGGCCCGTCCCTAGCAATTTTCGCAGGCCAGGATACTTCAACATCGGCCTCCAAGGGTCTTGCGTCCTTACCACGCGTCCTTACCATACGTTTTCACTGTATACCTTTTTTGTTCCTCTGGGTACGGTAGGTTTGCGTCGTGTCGACCAGCGGCGACCCCAGCGCGGGCGTTCAAGGTTGAACGCCGCCGGCGACCCAGAATCGATCGATGTTGAACGATCGGACGTTGCGGCAGCGGCCGATCGTTCAAGGTTGAATGATCCCTGCGGTGTCAAAAACCAACGCTGGGGTCGGCACGACACGAACCTGCCGTAGGTTCGCGTCGTGTCGACCAGCGTCGACCCCGCCGCTGGCCTTCGACGTGGAGCGCCGCTGGCGGCCCAGAGTCGGCCGATGTTGAACGATCTGACGTTTCGGAAGCGGCCGCTCGTTCAGCGGCCGCTCCTCATGTGTGAACAAGGTGTGGTTGCCTCATCCTCCTCCTCCTCCCCCTCCGCCTCCTTCCTCCTCCTCCTTCCTCCTCCTCCATCCTCCTCCTCCTCCTCCTCCTCCTCCTCCTCCTCCTCCTCTCCTCCTCCTCCCGTTCAGTGTTGAAAGATCCCCGCGGTGTCAGTAACCAACGCCGAAGTCGACACGACACGAACCTGCCGCAAGCACAGACTTCCGGACGTCCGCGCAGGTCTCTTGGATCGGCGCTGGACCCCCCTCCCTGGGGCCCGGGGGTCTCTTGGGGTCCAGGGAGGCCCGTTCCCTTGAGGAGCCGAGCCAAGTCCCCCCCCCGACCGTGCCCCCAGCTTTTGCGCATCGAGGCCGCTCGGCCTCTTGTGGAGGGCCTTCTCTTTCCGCCCCCGCCGCTGGGCGCTGCTCCGATGGCCGGGCGCTGGTCGCCATGGCACGGCACGATGTTTTTGTCACCGTTTTCCTGCTCCCGGGGTCGTTCCCAAAGGTTCCCTCTTGGGCGCGACTTGTGCTGGGGGCGATCAGGGGCGACAGCGAGGGCTGAAAAAAAGGAGCCCTTTCGGGCCCCAAAGGGTGCCTTTAGGGCCCTCCGTAACCATTTTGGCGCAAGGCTTCTTTTAGTCCAGGTACGTTTGATCTCCGATCGTCGTAGCTTCGAATAGCTGCCGATACCGAATAGCTTCGTATAGCTTCAATTTTCAATCATACACGTTCCAAGTTATGTTTCGAACAATGGCACAGCTTTGCGCAGTGGGGTTTGTAACTACGTGCGCTGAGCACGTGGACCTGCAGCTCATGCAGATACACACGGCCAGTCTCTTGCGTGGCAATGGGATCCGGCAGGGATGTCATACCTTGACCCAGGGCGACGAGTGTTACGAGAAGGTTCAGTGGGCGATGCAGACGGGCATCAATTTGCACCCAAAGTGGTATCTCCCTCTGACGAGTAATTCCAGCTTCGAGGACTTCCAGCAGCACCTGCACGCCGTGGACAGGCTCTCTGACGTGTGTCCCAAGCCTTGTGCAGCGGCGCAGTCAGAGGAGCGACTGGCAGAGCGGTTGCCCGCAGTGCCAGAGGAATGCCGCACCAGTGTCGAGGGCGACGAGTGCTACGAGAAGGTTGAGTGGGCAATGCGGACGGGCATCAAAAAACACCCAGAATGGTATCTCCCTCTGACGAGTACTTCCAGCTTCGAGGACTTCCAGCAGCACCTGCACGCCGTGGACAGGCTCTCTGACGTGTGTCCCAAGCCTTGTGCAGCGGCGCAGTTTGAGGAGCGACCGGCAGAGCGGTTGCCCGCAGTGCCAGAGGAATGCCGCACCAGTGTCGAGGGCGACGAGTGCTACGAGAAGGTTGAGTGGGCAATGCGGACGGGCATCAAAAAACACCCAGAATGGTATCTCCCTCTGACGAGTACTTCCAGCTTCGAGGACTTCCAGCAGCACCTGCACGGCGTGGACAAGTTCTCCGATGTTTGCCCCAAGCCTTGCCCTTGGCGGTCAGCAGACCAGCTCCGGATAAGTTCTGGATCCCCGATGCCTACATCTCAATATACCGGAACTCCGATGCCTACAGCTCAGCATGTTGGAACTCCAATGCCAACAGAAATCCATGAGGATGACCTACTCATATCGGCCTACCCTGGATACGAGCAAACCGGTCGCAATTGCCAGTGTGGAGAGCCAATATTACAGTTGTCAGAAGAGTTCGAGTCTCTCGAGTTGTGTGCCTCGGAGTGCTCATTGCTCCCCAACTGCAAGGCCTTCGGTCTTCACCCTTGGCAGTCGATCTGGCGAGGCCAGTGCGATCTCTACGATGCACCGTGTGGGGAAACGAACGGGCATGACTCCAACACCACCTGTACCAACCCAACCCCGCTTGGAGCCATCAGTGTCAATTTTAACCGAGTGCCGACGCCCGCGCCCACGCCTGCACCCACGCCTGCACCAGACCGTTGCGATGTTACGGATGGATCGTTTCTGAGTTCTTTCTACCCGTGTCAGTGCGGGTCTGATGTGGTGTGTGTCACAAACGAGGTTTGCTCAAAGGACAGGTCAGGCTATTCGTGCTCTCCTCCTGGCATTCTCAAGGTAGAATGGCCGTGTTTGACGACTTCGATCGGCAGCCCCTACTTCGTGCTTGCAGGGAGCAGCGTAACAGGAGCGCCAGTATACAGCAACACCGATGGCAATTACATATATTGGGACGTGTCGTGCGATGGCATCGAGCGACCTTTGCTATATCAGCAGCCGCGATGGATCCTCGACTCAGACTCACCAAATATGACAGCGACCATGGATTTAGATTCTGATTCGGAGTGCTCTTATTTTGGGCATCACGGTAGTTCTGATTTCAGTGGTGTCCCTCTGGGGAGCACAATTTGGGCGGTGGCATGCGACGGTGAAGTTTCCAACATGACGGTGAACATCACTTACGAAACATATCTTCCCACCCCATCGCCGACGATGGAACCTGGGGCACCGTGCACTTGTGACCAGGGATGTGGCATGTTTCCTTACCTTGACTTAGATGGTGATGGTTGCCTAGTGGAGGCAGAAGTAAACAAAGATGAGAGTCTCAACGGGCATTTTGCCGAGATCGACACGGACGGTGACGGCTGCGTCACCCAGACAGAGTGCGGGGATTCGCCGTATTCGAGTGGTATGCTCAGGTTCCCAATCCAGGGCCCAGCTGAATGCAGCTACGGATACTATTTCATGGACGGCACCAGCGTCTGCCAGCAATGCACCAACGGTGCCACGCGGCGGCGTCGCTCAGAGGCCTGCGGCAACTGCCCCGCGGACAAAGAGGACGTGGGCGACTTCGACAACTGCATCTCGGGGGTGTGGCTCACTGAACCCCTCGCGGTCGGGTCCCGCGTTGCCTTCGTCAACAAGGACATCGACGAGAGCGGAGTCTTGTTGCAGAAGGGCGATGGGATCACCGTGTCGACGCGGAACCCTGGTCACTTCGAGAGAATGATTATCGTCGACAAGGTTGGTTTCAATGATACCCAGAGGCTGTCGTCACACCACGAGTCCCTGCTCCGTACGAGTGGGCCTTTTTTCGTGCTGGACCACGGGGTGCACGCGCCCTTCGTCAAGTTCGACGCGATCGTCTCCGCCTGCTCGGACGTCAGTGGACTGTCGCTCAGCGGACAGTACCCATGCGGATGCGGCATCGAAATCTGCGATTTCGGGTACAGGTGTGACGAGGAGTGCGGTGGGAACAACACGGTCCTCGATTCCTACGCGGGCAGCGGCTACGGGAACGGCGGATGTTGCCTCGGCCCCCCTGTCTCTCCTCTGCCCACCCCGGCCCCGACGGTGTCGGCCAGGGGTGACCCGCACTTGGTCAACCTTCAAGGCGAGCATTTCGACGTTAACCACGGCGGCGAGTTCACATTGCTCCGGATCCCGCAGGCCGCCGACAGGACCGCCGAGGTGCAACTTCGGGCAACGATCCGACCCGAGTACGGGAAGCCATGCACCACGTACATCACCGCGGTTGAGCTCTCGGGCACGTGGATCGGTGAGGCGGTCGTGCAGGTGCGGTCCTACCTCAGGTCACACACCAAGAATGGAAGCGACGATTTCTTGGGGCTCCGGGTGCTGGAGCCAGGCGCGCCAGAAGATGTTCCGTGGACGAGTCTCGCGGATTGGACCGATGGGAACATCCGTCTCTCCGAGCAGCAGGCAGAGGAAGGCGTCAGGGTGACAATGTCCAAGTCACAGTGGCGCACCAAAAAGAGCGTGAAGGAAGGATTGCCGACCGTAGCCGGACAGATTCAGATCACAATGCAAAGCAAGGTGAGTGAAGATTCCGCGACGATTGTCGTCCGCCAAGACCTCCCCATGCAGGAGCACCTGAATTTGGCTGTACGGCGTTTGAGCGCACTCGGTCGTGCAGACATTGGCGGACTTCTTGGGTTCGATGCGCATGTCGAGTCACTAGAGGACGTCACGCCAGAGTGCCAGCGTCACAGGGATGGGCTGGACACGAACAAAGGTCCGCGCTCAACACCACGCTGGAAGATTCGTTGGCAGAGGATCAAGGAGCAGCGCGCGAGCAATCCCGTACCTGGTGGGTCAATGAATGACAACGAAGCGGCTGCCAACTTCCTTGGCCTTGGTAAGATGCGAATGCAAGAGAAGGACATGATGTGCGTCTGCCCCAACGGAGGTCCCATGCATCCCACAGGGGACCACTATGCCGCGAATCTGATAGGTGGCAGACGCCTGGGCGTCCTTGCAAAGTTCCAGACTGGCAGGTTTGCGGAGGCAACGTGGGACTGATGAGCACGCATCGAATTGGCCGGCGCGATCGCCGGCATCTATCCGCGCAGCAGCCTTGGGCTCCCGTGTCCCGTGTCTACCTCAAGAAGCTTGCGGGGTTGCGGCTTGGGCGCCTGGCATGCCTTGCTACGTCGACACGGGTCGCCAGAGGCGGCGGGAGATTGGTTGGGGCTTCGGCGGGGGCCAGCGGAGATGAAGGAGAGAGAGAGAGAGAGCCGTCTTTTCGTAATCAATTCATGTCAGCTACGCACTTTTGTGGCTTTTGATCCGTTGAGTCTTCTTCGGTTTGCGTGTGCGTGCTCGATCCCCTTGGCTTCGCAATGTGTTTAATAACACGTCTTGGGGCTTCTGTACCATGTGCGCACGCGTGTATCGGGAGCAGCACGTCGATTGGACGTACCTGATACCGATGCTCCTGGGCCAGTGCGGGTACAGGAAAAAAAACGGCCCAAGAGACCCCGAAGACGGCCCAAGAGGCCTTCAGGAGAGCCCCCAGGAGGCAACAGTTGTTTAGCATATTCGCCTGTTGTGTCGTAGCAGCGTCCAAGACGGCCCAAGAAGCCTGCGAGATCGCCCCAAGGCGGCCCAAGAGGCCCCCAAGAGGGCTTCAAGGCAGGCCAAGAGGACCCCCAGAACGGCCCAACAGAAGCTCACGATGCCCCCAAAAGGCTTCCAAGAGAGACCCACGAGGGCCATGGGAGGTCCCTAAGAGGGCCCAAATTCCCCAGGAGAGCCCCAAGGCAGCGCAAGGCGACCTCAAGACGGACCATGAGGCCCCCAAGACGGCCCAAGAGGCCCCAAAGACGCCCCAAGAGGCCTTCAGGAGAGCCCGTAAGAGGCAAACATCATCCCATTCCCTGAGGAAGATGCTTTTTTGCGTATTCGCTTTGGGTGTCGTATCAGCGTCCAAGACTGTCCAGGAAGCCTGCGAGATCGCCCAAAGGCGGCCCAAGAGGCCCCCAAGAGGGCTTCAAGCCAGACCAAGAGGACCCCAAGGCTGCCCCACAGACACATACACGGGCACACAGACACACAGACACAGACACACAGACACACAGACACAGACACACAGACACACAGACACACAGACACACAGACAAACAGACACACAGACACACAGACACACAGGCACAGACACACGGACACACAGACACAGACACACAGACACAGACACACAGACACACAGACACAGACACACAGACACAGACACACGGACACAGACACAGACACAGACACACAGACACACAGGCACAGACACAGACACACAGACACAAACACACAGACACAGGCACACAGACACAGACACACAGACACAGACACACAGACACAGACACACAGACACAGACACACGGACACAGACACACAGACACGGATACACAGACACAGACACACGGTTACAGACACACAGGCACAGACACACAGACACGTATACACAGACACAGACACACAGAGACACGGTCACAGACACAGACACACAGACACACAGACACACAGACACACAGACACACAGACACACAGACACACAGACACACAGGCACAGACACACATACACACAGGCACACAGACACGCAGACACACAAACACACAGACACACAGACACACAGACACACAGACACATAGACACACAGACACAGACACACAGACACACAGACAAACAGACACACAGACACACAGACACACAGACACAGACATACACTAGAATCCCTTTCCAATAGAATCTCGTTGTGGCGTTTTCCAATCCAATCGAATCCCTTTGTGGTGCTTTCCAAAGGATTCCTTTTGCGAGGCTTTCCACTCGAATCTTTGTGTGGTGCTTTCCAAAGGGGTCCTGCGTTCCAATCGAACCCCTCTGTGGTGCTTTCCAGAAGATTTCTGTTGTGAGGCTTTCCAGTACAATCCCGTTTGTGGCGTTTTCCAATCCAATAATATTCTTCTTTGGTGCTTTCCAAATGGTTCCCACTAAGAAGCCTTGCGCTACCCCGCCGCCCTCAGCCCGAGTTTGCACTGGCCCGCTGAAGGAGGATAAGAGGATGAGGAGGAGCGACGGAGAGCGGGGAGCAGATGAGGGAGGGGAAATTATAGATACAAATCCGAATAATATGTATGATCACGTGTGTGTGGGAGGAGCACATTATATATGTGTATACCAATGTAAATTGATATACTGATTATGTTTGTGTATCTATATACATACATGTACATGTGTATGTGTGTATGTGTATGTGTATGTGTATGTATATGTGTAGATGTACGTGCATGTGTACGTGTACGTGTACGTGTACGTGTACGTGTACGTGTATGTGCATGTGTATGTGTATGTGTATGTGCATGTGTATGTGTATGTGTATGTGTATGTGTATGTGTATGTGTATGTGTATGTGTATGTGTGTAGGTGTATGTGTATGTGTATATGTGTATGTGTATGTTCATGCGTAGGTGTCTAGATGTATGTACTTGTGCACTTACATGTATGTGCATGTGTAGATGTCTTATTATATGCGTATGCGTATGCACAGGGTTCCTATGTTTCTAGAAGCCGTGGGGGGCGGGAAAAACCGCCCCCCCCCCCCTTCCCACACATACACATACACGCACAAAGCATCGCCCCCCCGGGATCTGGAGGTTTGGGGCCAAGGCCCCCCTGCCCTGCCGCGCCTTCCAGGGCGCGCTGCTGGGCCTTGCCAGTAAGCTCAAAGCGATCAGAGAAGGGATCGGAGAGGCGCAGGAGAGCTTCAGGGCAGCGCAAAACGGACTCA